ATTTATATAACCACCATTAATAAAAGTTATTGAAGTGTCTTCACTCATTTCAACAATGTCTGCATAAACAAAGTTTCCATCATAATCAAATTTTCCATTTACTGTTATTTTAATAAAATGACAATTTCCTCTCCAACGAGAAACACCTTTTACTATTAAATGATTTATTTCTACTTTTGCAATATCATTAACAATAATTGAATTAGTAATAACCATTTCATTACACATAAGAATTCCTGAATTAATTATTGTATTATCTAAAATACATTTATTTGCTTTAATAAATCCACCAATTTTTCCATTTCGAATTATTATTTCATTCCAATATACTTCAGTTTTAGGATGATAAGAATTTTTATTCAAAACAAATAACTTTAATTGATTTGATTCCATTTGAGAAACATAATTACAATCATTTTGATCAAATGTATTATTATTATAATAACAATTACATTCTATTTGACTTTCATTTAATACTATTCTATTATATAAACCATTCTTACAACCAATTCGTAAATTAAAACTATTAGATATATAATATGAACCACAATTAAATATTATTTTGTTTTTATTTAATTCATTTACTTTTAATGAAGAAGCATAAATTTCTTTAAAATAACAAAATTCATTCTCATTGTTTTGAATTATTAAAGAAGAAGAAATTATTAATTTCGTTTGTAAAATAAAAGTAATTGATGGAAGAATAAAATCTTCTTTAATAATAATTGGTTCATTACTTTGAATTAAGAGTGGTTGTGTTCTTGGTTCAATAATTAATTTTAACCAGTGATTATGTTGATCAAATTTAATATTTGTTTGATGAGATTTAATTGTTAAAGGTAAGAAATCACTTGATACAAAACAGTCAGGATAATTCATATTAAATTCAGTAAATGAAACTTCACTGACAGTTGATTTAATAAAACAACTACAGTCATTTTCAATAAATTTAGATTTAGGACATTTAATATAACGTTTTTGTGACATAAAAGAACAAATTCCTTGAATAACAAAATCGTTAGATTGTTCAACAATAACATTTTTAGCATTAAAAAGATAATGACATTCATTAATTTGATAATCTTCTTGGACTCTTAATATAGTTGAATTTCCAGAAATAAACATATACGGTCGTTCTTTTTCTTTAAATTGAAGAATATTAATTTCTTGATTTTCAAAATATATTTTTAATGTTTTAGTTCCAATTATAATTATTGTTTCTTTATCTTTTACAACATATTCTCTTGTATTTCCTATATAAATTTCACATTCATTATTTATATTTCTTCCATCAATAATCCATTTGGAATCTATAAATGGTGGTAAAAGTTTTATTAATGAAATTGATGCTGATTCATCAAATGTTATTCCTTTTGGATTTCTATTTTCTGCTAATGAACTAATAGAATAATAATTTTCATTATTTTCACAACACTCTCCTGTAAATATAATCCAATCAATTGTTCCATCCCAAATTAATTTCCATCCATATCCACGATTACTACATGTCATTCCTGAAATATTTGGATCATAAATAATTTCATTATCTTGTGAGTACCAACAGTCTGAATTGACTAATTGAAATAAAATGAAATAAATTAACATTAATTTGTTTATTTTTTTAATGTTCTTTTAAATTGAATTTTCTAGTTGAAATTCATTTTTTTATTGATGAAAATTCCTAAAAATCTTTTTAAGAATAACTCTTTCTTAAAATTATTATTTGAATTAATGATTTTACTTTTTTTTCTTTTTAATTCTTATGAATGTTCAAAAGAAAAGATATTTTTTTTAATTCTTTTTCTTTTTAAATATTTATTTGAATGAATTAACTTTCACTTTATAAAATTTTTATATTCCCTTTCATTCTTATAAAAATATTTATTAACTTAATGCTTTTCATTTAACAATCAATTTGAATTATACTTATTAATACTATTAAGTACAAACTATAAAATTAATATATCAATTTTATTTATTAATAAAAATATTATTCTAATATTTTAAATACCTGGAATGTCTTTTTAATAATGAAAATAAAACATTTTTGAATTTTAATGTCTATAATTTAATAAAATTATTCATTATTTATCACTTCAACATATTTTTTTATTATTTATAACACTCAAAAAGAGTTGTTTCAATAGAAGAATGAAATTTTAGTCAATAAATAACATCAATTTACTTCAATTCAAAATAATTATATAATATTAGAGAGAATAAATATATATAAAAATATTCTAATATATAAATAAATATAACAAACAATAACCTCATGATAATAGATTATAAAAAGTACAAAATAGAATAAAAAAAGATAATATAATTAATATAAGAATCTTTATTTATGAAATAGATAATGTTTTATTTAACTTATTAATAGTTAAGGTGTCTTGTTAATTAAATCATTTCATTTCTTCTATTACTATAATTTTTAATAATAATTCTATTAATTATATGAACTTTAAAAAGATTAAACTTTATTTGTTAATTTTTCTTCACATGTCTAAATCAAAAGATGTTAGACTAGACACACCAAGAAAAGTCTTTCTTTATAATGAACTCGTTGCAACACTATTAATCCCTGATGACGAAATATTTTATAGTGAAATAGAAGAAGAAAAAGAAACAAAATTAAACACCATAAAACCTGGATTTTCTTCAGCATTAATAACTGATTGTGTAAGTGAATATTTTAGAGAAGGAGAACCTCCCAGAAGAGAAGAATTTAAAAAATTTATTGAAAGTAAAGAATGGGAGCCATTTAGAAAACAAATATTTATGGAATATCCAATGATTGAAGAAAGGTACAAAAGAGAAGTGTTTGACAACAGAATGAAAGAAGAAGATTTTTTTGAGAAATTCTTTAAGTCAAGATATTTTGGAGAAGTAGAAAAGAATAGTATTGATATATTTCAAGACACTTTCCGAACTGATGAACGTGAAAGAAAAGAAAGAAAGAAAAAAATCAGGGGAGATTTTTATCAAAAAGACATTGCTTCTATTGAATTAAAAAATGATGGCTGGGAAGGTTTTGGTACTAGAGGTATAACTTGGGGGATAGAAATGAATAGTAGAAGACAAATTGACGTTGAAAGAAATGTTTCTGTTAAACGATTTATTGACCAAATTAATTGGCACAGCGAAGTTGTTGTTAGGCAGATGGAAAAAAATGTTAAAGATGAGCAAGAAGTAGACTATGGGTTTGTAGAAAGTAAACGACTTTCTAATGTCCAAAATGTTGACTATACACAATGGGGAATTGATCCAAAATTATTTGATGGAATAGAAATCAATAAAATTGATTCTTTAAAAATTTGGAATACCACTCAACAAGGTGAAATTATCAAACAACCTTCTACCCAACATTCAATACATAAAGGACAAGAGCTTGTCAAAGTTTTATTATTTTATCAGTTGTGTTCTTTTTGTTTAAAGTGTTTTTACAAAGAGTTAACTTCTGCCACACTCCAAACCCGTTATGAAAAAGTTATCTGTGATTGTTTTAATTTCGTAGAAAAACAAATTTCTTCAGAACCGATTGCTCATCGTCCTTTGTGGGAACAAATACTTAAAGAACTTAAAAAGGCAATAACACAATTTAAAAAAAAATAATTTTTATGTTTTTTCTTTATTTTTCTTTTTTTATAATTTATTATTATGAATTATTTGGAAAAAACAAAATACAAAAGATGAAACAATACAAACAAAAACAAACTCAAATATTTGAATGAACATTATATGAATATTACAGAATGATAATTATTAGTGGATTGTATTACACAATAAATAAAAAGTGTGGGTAGAGTAAAGAAAAAGAGTTTCAAGAAATGACTGATTATTTGAACAAAAACACTTTCATTATTTATAACAAAACTAATTTCTGATGGTTTATGTATTGATAATATTATACTAAGTCATATCCACACCTAGTAGTTTATTTTTATATTAATTTTAATGTAATTTGGTTTAATTTATCATCTGTTTGATCACTTTTTTCTTTATAATTGTTTCTTAAATTTAATTATATTTTATTAATTTAATATTTTTAAATGTTCTTAACATTATCAAAACAATGAAATAAAATTATGACAAAATTAAATTCTTTGTAAACTAATGTTTTAGTAAAGAAAAGGTAAATTAAATTAAAAGTTGTTAAGAGGTGCCTCTTAAAAGGCAATACAAAAATTACTCCCAGGTTAACCCATTTGACATCAACACGCCGCAGTGCACATGACGCATTGTGCAAAGATTATTGTGTTTCTTGAGGCACAACAATCAAGGATAAGTTTGTTGATTTTACCATTTTTTCGTTTGCTTTTTATACCATCTTTATAACCCTATTTTAGGGTTCTTTCTTTTTTAACTTTTTATTTTTTAATTCTTTTTAGTTTAATTTATTAAACTTATTAAAATTTCTATTTTTATCACTTTTTTTTTATTGTTTTATTTATACATCAAGAAAAACAATTTATTAAAACAAAAACAAATTTTTTTTGTGATAAAACGTTATTCAATAAGTATATATAACAATTACCTCAAATCAATTGCAAAAACTAAGTGAGACTCAAACAAAGTTTAACTTAATAATAGTCTTCTTAAAGAATATTGAATGAGTTTATGATTATTATATCTAATCATAATCTCAACAAAAAAAATGAAATTAAAAGACAAGATAATAATAATAAGGTTTATTGTAGTTATTATGAATATTTTATTTATCTATAACATTAAAGAAGAGAAATTGATAAAAAAAAAATGATGCTCTTCAAGAAATTAACAAAATAATTCTTAAATTCTTTAAAAAATAAAATATTTTATAAAAGAATGAGTAATTTATAAATTAGTCAAAATTTTTATAGTACTGTGAAAGTTTATTAGTTTTTTCTTTGTTGCGTCATTTTTTTTTTGAAGTTATAAAAACAAATTGTTAATAAATATTTTTTAATAATTGTTTAATTAATTTTAAAATAATAAAATTACATTAAATTTCCTCATATTTAAAATAATTGTAAATGAGTTTTATTACATAACATATTATCTTCTGAATTTCTTGTTTTATGTAAAAGTAATTTACTAATAGGGTTATTAGGTAAATACTTTCCCATTCTTTGGTTTGATAACGTTGATTTTATTTGATAAAGACACTTTATGCAATTTTGTTTATCTACTTCAATTCTATTTAATTCCCATGTTGTTTCAGATGTAATGAAATTAAGTAATTCTGTAAGCATTAAATACATACCAACCATATCACTCACAACAATACCTATACTAAAACATAATTGTTCATTAAATTTAATCATTTTTGTTATGTCAATTACATATTGATTACATTGATTAAATAAAGTATAACAATCATTCCATAAATTAATAAACATGTCTTTCTCTTTTAATAGTACTAGAAATAAACTCTTTCTTGTAAAATGAAAAGAACCATCAAAATAAGGATATTTATGATGGAAATTAAATAAATAATTGAGTAAAATGGAATAATGTTCACACCAAAACTGATATGTATTTGGGTTAATATTAAATACATTTTTTACATCATGTTTTGGAATGACAATTTCTTTAAATTCAGTAAATATGATACAATTTCCATTCTGACAAAGAAAATGAAGAAGAATTAATCCTTTAAAAACTTCATCAAAATATCTACTTTTTAATTTGTTTTTAATCTTTTTAAATATAATATACCTCTTCCCTTGGAATGATTTCTGGATAACCTTATCAAGATACTTTTTTTCTGGATTAAAATTACCTTGTCCAATAAGTTCATGCAAAACCCATTTTAGATTGATACTCATTTTTTTTTTCATTTTGTAATTTTTATTGCTTTAATCTTATCAAATGAGATGAAAAGTCATCTCACTTTTCAAAAATAAAGTATGATTATTTTTCGCAGAGTTATTTTTGAAAAATAGAAATACTGAAAAAATATTAACAAAAAATACAAGTTATTCATCAATAAGATGTTTTATTTTTAGATTCCAATATCTCATAATTTACATTAAGAGTTTGTTACAAAATTAAAATAATAATAAAAACATAATAAATAATAGAATAAAATAATTGAAAGAAAAAATTTTGTAATAAAATAAAAATAGAATTAATAAATTTTTGTGAGTTAAAAAAAATAAGAAATAGTAAGAATCATGAGAATACTTTGAAATAAAAAGACAATACGAAGAACTTGAAAACATAGAATTATGATAGGAGTTGTTTTAGTTTTGCTAGTATTAGGAAGTGAAGGAAGTTCATTTAATTTAAATGAAGATCCAGTTAAGTTATTTGAGCAATTTAAACAAGAATATAAAAAAGAATATGTAAATCTTGTTGAAGAATTAAGAAGAAAAGCTGTTTTCATAAAAAATGTAAAAATGATGAGAGAGCACAATGCAAAAGAAAGTTCATATACAATGGGAATTAATAAATTTGCAGATATGGAAGGTAATGAACTTCTTGCAACATCAAGTAAAATACAAAATAATAGAAGAATGGGTGCTAGAAGAATTCAAGAAAAAATTAAAACAGAAAAAGTAAATTTAACAAAACAAACTCTTAAACAAGCTGTTCCAGCTAATTATACATTATGTACTTCTGAAGCTGAATATAATTATTGTGGAACCAATAATATTGACCAAAATGTATGTGGTGGATGTTATGCTGTTGGACCAGCACAACATTTATCAACAATCTATGCTTACTTAACTAAACAAGCTGATAATAATAAACCAAAACGAAAAATGTTATCTGCCCAACAATTAATTGATTGTAATACTGAATCATGGGGTGGATGTGGAGGAGGATTTGCTGAAAATGTTCTTAATTCTGTAGATGGAATTTATTATGCAGATGATTATCCATTTATTGATGGTAATACAGAATGTGAAGACCCTACTGATTGTACAAGATTTAAACATGAATGTAAGAAATTAAATCTTGGTTATCCATTAAAATTTGCTACTAGTAATAAATTTACTCACTTTGCCAATAAAAATTGGGAAGAAATAAAAGAAATTATTTATACATATCATGGATTTATTAGTGCAATGAAAGTTACTGAATCATTATATAGATATTCAGGTGGTATTTATAAATCTCAAAGTTGTACTGGACAAATTACTGACCATGTTATTACTGTTGATGGTTATGGAGAATGTGATGGACATAAATTCCTTTGGGTAAGAAATTCATGGGGAAATGATTGGGGAGTTGAAGGTGGACATTTCAAAATTGATTGGGATACTCTTTGTGGAATTAATGGTATTGATCATTATGAAGATGGTTCTCAACTTCAAAATAATTTATATGTTGAAATGGAATTAGGAGATGGTGATACTGCTGATTACAATCCTCAAGATGGTGCAGGTGAAAACAAGCAAGACCCAATTGGTTGTGTTGTTGTTAGTCCAACTGGTGATAATGATAACAAAACAACAGGAATTGTTATTACTTTATTCGTCTTATTAATGACTTTCTTCATCTAAATATGGGACATTTTTTTAAAATTTAATTGGTTTTTATAACAAAAAATATTTATATTTTTTGTGAAATGAATAAAATTAAAAATAAAACATTTTTTTAAAATAAAGTTAAAAAAAACTTAAAATAAAAAAGAAAAATCAAAAATAATAGAAAGAAATGGAAGGACCTGATTTAACAGTATATAAAATAGGAGATTACATTATTGGAAAGAAATTAGGACATGGTTCAACTGCCGTTGTGTTTTTAGGAATTCATATAATGACAGGAATGAAATATGCGATTAAAATCATTGAAAAAAGCTCATATAAACAAGAGAAAATCAAATCACAAATTTATCGAGAGATTATTTTTATGAAAATAATAAGAAATTCATATATAGTACAACTCCATCAAGTTTATGAAAATTCTACTCATTTATTTATTGTTTTAGATTATATGGAAGGTGGAGAATTATATGATTTAATTCATACACAAGGAACATTAGATATAACAACTTCTATTAAGTTATTTTGTCAGGTATTAAGATGTATATCATATTTACATTCTAAAGGAATTTGGTTTGTTTTATTTCATTTGTCTTTTCATTAAAAAAATTGATAATTTCGTGATTTATATCAATAGTCATCGTGATATTAAACCAGAAAATATTTTATTAGACTCAGGTCATACGAATATCAAACTCATTGATTTTGGTTATTCATTATTTTCATTAAATGAAAAATTAAAAGAACGTATTGGTACACCAGGTTATATTGCTCCAGAAGTATTTAATGGAGTTGATTATGACCCATTCTTAGCAGATGTTTATTCATGTGGAGAATTATTACATGTAATGTTATATGGAAATCATCATTATTTTTTTGATGGCATACAAACAAACTTCCCTGATAATCATGGGTCAGGTGATCTTTTATCAAAAATGCTTCAAAAAGATCCTTCAAAAAGAATTACATTACAACAAGTTATGAAACATCCTTTTGTTAAAGCTGCATTAGACAATACAAAAGAAACATCAATAGCTATGTATAATGGTCCAGTTATATTGACTCCTCAAAAAGATTTATTAGAAATAATTTGTTATATATTACCTAATATTAATGAATTATCAATTAGAGATTATTTAGCATCACCTAATCCTAACACAATAAAAGAAATGTATCGGTTATTAGAAAATCAATTTTTTAATTCATCAAATGAAACAAATACTTTTAAAATTAAATCAGAAAATATATTACTTGCAATTCCAACAGCAGATAATAATATTCTAATTGATAAAACAACCAGAGGAACTACAAGAAAAGTTGTTTGTGAAAGTTATGAGAATGAAAATGAAATGAAATTAAAGATTAATCAAATTTGTGATGAATTAAGAATTAAAGAATGGACATTTTCTACAATTAATGGAAAAAGTAAAATTCCATTTGAAGTTATTTATTCAACCAAAGATGGGTGTCATCAAGTATTGTTTCAAACGTGTTTTGGGTGTTCAATGTTTACAGACATTTGTTGTGTGTTTCATACTTTATTAAATAAATAGTCAAACTTTACTAAAATAAATATTTTTTTTTTGTATTATATTTATTAATATTTTTATTAAACAAAATAATATTTATAATTCAACTCAAAAAGAATAAAACAACAATAATAGATATGGAAGGTGTTGAAGTTAATTTTGAAGACGCTATTATAGCAGGAGCAGAAATTGGAATGCCATTATATAACTTTGTTCAATTAATTAAACCAATAATAAAAAGTGCAGATAGTCAACCAATATTTGAAAAGAATAAAGATCCTCAAGAAACTGAATTAATAGAAGAAAAGAAAGGAGATAATCAAACAAAAAATAAAAAGAATAAAGAGATGTGTAAAATATATAGTTGGAATAAAATGGAAATGAGTATTTTTTTTGATGAACAACAAACAATAACAGGAATAGAAATTAAATATCCATCAATATTTACAAAAGATGGAAAGTATTATTTAAAGAATCATTGTGAAATAAATGAAGATATTAAATTTGCTATTAATAATTATAAACATATTCAAGTAGAATATAATGGACCTATTTTAACTGTTATTAAATGTTATTCAAATAATGAAAAAATGAAATATGATTTAAAAGAAAAATATAGAAGTTTAAGAGATGTTCAAGTTGTTTGTATTTATTATTTTTTCTTCAATAAATTAAAATAACTTTTATTTATTAATAGAAAGATAATAAATTATTATTTTGTATTGATTCTTCAGGTTGTGATGGATGTAAAGAACTTTTTTTAGGAAAAAGTGCTGATGAAATTAAAGTGATATTTAATAAAGAACCAGACTCTGTTATTGTTAGTAATGGTATTATTGTTTGTTCTTTTTATGACTTTGGAATTGATATTTTATGTAATATTTCTTTTATTATTATTGGAATTGTTCTTCATACAAATGATCAAACTGATAAAGAATTTCTTAAATATGCACAATGTCATTGGAAATTTGAAGTAGAAAAGAATAAATTTCAATTTAGTGATAATGTTTGTTTTTTTTATTTATTTAATTTACTTTTAATAAGGAAATTATCAAACAAAAAAAAAAGAAGAGATTAATTTATTTTTTAGTGGGGAATTATTAAAAGAGATAGAGAATATGTTAAAGTGAATGAAAATTCAAGTAGTAATACAGACTCTGACTTATATTCTTTAAAAGAAATTCCTCATACCCTTTTTGCAGTTCATAATGATAGAGTATTAAAAATAATGATTTGGAATGAACAAAAGAAAAAATAATTATAATTCAATCATTTATTCAATTTAAAGAAGACTTTTGTATGAGAGATATAAATGGATCAACACCTCCAATAACAATATGAGTATCATTGCAATCTATTGAAGTTATTGAACCAGTTAACTCTTTTTTAATTTGTTGTGGTTCTTCATTTCCAACAGAATAAATTTTAATTGTTCCATCTTCACTTCCAGAAACAAATTTTTGAAAGTCTTTATCAAATGGTTTAATTGGAACAATTCTTCCATTAGGTTGATAGCCTTTCCATGTTTGAATAATATTATTCATTTTATATAATACAATATTTCCATCAGCACATCCACCAATGGAGATATCCCAATGAGGGAAATCTGAATATAAACTATTTATTACTATTATTTTATATTATAATTTATAATAAGTTTAACAAACACTGGTGAATAAGAAACTGGAAGACGTGTTTTTACAGACTCTTTATAGGTACGAACAATTGTACCATCAAGTGAAGAACTTTGTAATGAAATACCATTAAAACATAATGAAGTAATAATATTTGAGTGAATAGATTGGTCAACATTAATTA